CCTCAGCCTGAGACCACAGAGCAAGTAAATTTGTAGTGACCAATTTAAGGCCAGCTTTATTCCTGCTGCCCCTCAGCTGTGGTTGTTACAGTGTTGTTTCTCCTGTTGACTTGTAGTGTGGCTTCCTGGGTATCCACCAGTTGGCCCTGGCTTTGCCCTTTGGACCCACACCAAACAATCTTAATCCCTTTCCCACATGACTGCCCTGTAGCTATTTGAAGAGCTTATCTCTCCCAGCTCCCACCACTGACTTCTATTTCCACCTTGTCTTTGTCTTATCCTGGTTCTAGCCACTGCCTCAAATCTTTTTAGGAACAAGGCAGGACAGAGAAAAAAAAAACAAACCAAAAGAAATCTCCTGTCCCATCTCTGAGTTCCACTCTCCAGTTTCCAGAGCCTTACCCTCCAGGGCTCCAGTGGCTCTACTGTGAACACCCTTGTGGGCTGGGAATCTGTTGTGCACAGATACCAGACTGTTAGAAACAAGTGCCAAGCCATGTCTACTGGATAGAGCTATGTCTACTGGATATGATGACTCTGCCATGCACCTTTTTTCCCCTTCTCAGTGCTTCTCATGCCTATGCCCACACCCAAGGGCCAGGTTTGGGAACATCCCCACCAGGTCCTGACCTGGCCATTGTCCTACCAGGACAAGACTGTGGTGGTAGCAGACTTTGGGCTGTCACGGCTCATAGTGGAAGAGAGGAAAAGGCCCCCAGTGGAGAAGGCCACCACCAAGAAACGCACCTTGCGCAAGAGTGACCGCAAGAAGCGCTACACGGTGGTGGGAAATCCCTACTGGATGGCCCCTGAAATGCTGAATGGTGAGTCCTGAAGCCCTGGAGGGGATACCCACCAGAGGGGAGGCAAAGGTCACATCTTGCCGCAGAGCCCTGGGAGCTCTAGGAGAGGCCTGTGAAGTGTAGGGCCAGATACCCAGAGCTGAGGGCTGGATGATTTTATCCCTTGGCCCTGGAGGGGATACCCACCAGAGGGGAGGCAAAGGTCACATCTTGCCGCAGAGCCCTGGGGCCTGTGAAGTGTAGGGCCAGATACCCAGAGCTGAGGGCTGGATGATTTTATCCCTTTCCAGGCCAGGAAGGCGAAGTCCTTCCTGTCCTAAGGTCAGGGATGAAAAATGGTCAATATCCTATCTTGGGCACAGGGCGAGTCTGTGGCTTTTCTGCCCCAAGGGTAGCTTAAAAGTTAAGCTATTTTTGCCCTAGCTTTGCTTTTTCTTCTCTCTCCATGCTGAGAACTGAAGTGTAGTGCCCCCTGGTGGATAGTGCTCACACCAGCTGAAAATGCTGGCTGGGATTCTTGAAATGTATGGGGTTGTAAAGGCCTCAGAGATGGTCTGATACAACCCTTTTTGGAGTCTGAGGCCCAGAGAAGTCCAGTGGTTTACCCAGGAGCATACAGTTGACTAATGGCAGAGCCTAGATGAACCCTGGCCCGCTATACCATGCAGTTTTATCCTGAGCAGTGTCGTGTTATGCCGTCTCTCCAAGGCAGGCCACCCAGGGCTGAGGAAAGATGATTTTCAGGTGGTGCCTGTCCTGGGCAGCCTTGGGGGCATACCCACAGAACCTATTCTAGCCCTGGTTCTTGGCTGAGGCTTGGCTTGACCCTAGACCCAGTACAGAGCCTATTAGGGACATAAACTTAATAGCCTGTTCTCCTGTGTTTCCCAAGGAAAAAGCTATGATGAGACGGTGGATGTCTTCTCTTTTGGGATCGTTCTCTGTGAGGTGAGCTCTGACACAGAGGCCATGCTTGAGGCAGGAGGCCTACCAGCTCTGCCCTGCTTCACAACTGGGGGTCCTTCTTCTAGGGATGAACAGTTTGTCATAAACCAACATAGGTGTAAGATTTTACAGTTTACAATGCATCTTCACATCTTTGCCACATTTAAGTCTCATTGGTCCCATAAGAAGGTTTTTTTTTTAGGTGAAGAATCTGAGGCTCAGAAAGGGGCAGTGGCTTGCTCTTAGTTACATGGCCAGTAAGGGGCAGGTGAGACTCAGAATTTCAGTAGGAAAGGCAGATTTTTCATGTGGCTGTCCATCTAGCTCTTGTGCCAAAAGTAACCCTTCCCAGTTACCCCTTCACTGGGCCCTGGTGGTGCCCCCATCCTAAGCCCAACAAAGAAAAGTAGCCTGTCCTGTGCCAGGTACCATGGGATACAGAGTGAACCTTGGAAAGATTTTTGCCTTTAAGAGCTTAGCCATAGAGTGGCAGCATGGCTCAGTATATCTCAAAGCATTCAGTCAAACATACCCATTCAAAGTTTCAGGAAAACTTTGTAATTCCTACAAAGTTATGACTGGTAGAGGAGAGGAAACATAAGGGACAGTTAGAATAATGAAGGGAAGTTGTTTTGAAAATTATTTTCTTTGAGGGCCAAGCCCGTGGCGCACTCGGGAGAGTGCGGCACTGGGAGTACAGCGGCGCTCCCGCCGTGGGTTCGGATCCTATATGGGGATGGCCGGTCACCAGCTCACTGGCTGAGTGCGGTGTGGCTGGTCTCAAAAAAAGACAAAAAAAAAAAAAAAGAAAATTATTTTCTTTGATATAAATTGAGTATCTTTTGAGTATAAAGCACTAAGCTGGTGCCAAAGGGTTTCAGATATGAATCAGACCCAACACCTCACCTCACAGAGCCTTGACTGGCACAGGACAGAGCCACGAGGGGACATGGAAAGGGCAGGGTGGGATGCGTGGAAGCTGCCAGCCTCCAGATGTCAATTTGGAACATTGTGCTTCTGCTGCAGTGTGGCCTCTTCTAAACCCTCCTCAGTAACCAGACTCATTAGAGAGACAGGTCCAGATTAGCAAGATTTGGAGAGATGGGGTAGGAGACAGCTCTCTAATCTAGGTTTTACCACTTCCTCTTCTACCCGTCCTTCATGTCCACACACCAGCATCCCTTTCCCCTGCCATATATATCTGCAGGCTCTGTAATCTTCCTGATCAGCTCTCTTCTCACCCTACAGATCATTGGGCAGGTTTATGCGGATCCTGATTGTCTGCCACGAACACTGGACTTTGGCCTCAATGTGAAGCTTTTCTGGGAGAAGTTTGTCCCCACAGACTGCCCCCCAGCCTTCTTCCCCCTGGCTGCCATCTGCTGCAAACTGGAGCCTGAGAGCAGGTTGGTATTCCACACCCTTCTCCCAGCTCACAGTGTCCTGTGATACTTGCCCCAGCTTTAGGCCATCATCTCTAAGCCCTTCCCAGGCACATGGGTGGCAAAAGCTTTGAATTCAAGAATGTGGCTGTCAGCCATACTGGGTTGGAAGAGAGGGAGATGAAGGCATAGTAGCAGTGATCTGGATAAGATACAGACACCGCCATTAAAAGAAAGTTTGAAAGAAGAACATTCACCCAAACCATTCTAACACAGTAACTGTCTTTCATTGTTCCCCTGTCTATCTCCACATATATACATTTTTCATAGTAAATAGATAAAAGTTTCATGCTGCATTTTCTTTTTTTTTTTTTTTTTTAAAGATGACCGGTAAGGGGATCTTAACCCTTGACTTGGTGTTGTCAGCACCACGCTCAGCCAGTGAGCGAACCGGCCATCCCTATGTGGGATCCGAACCCGGGGCCTTGGTGTTATCAGCACCGCACTCTCCCGAGTGAGCCACGGGCCGGCCCTCATACTGCATTTTCAATGTTACTACCCAGTCTTCCTGTTAATCATTTTTGTTTACAGCATGAAGTTCTATTGAGAGACTGTCTACAGTACGGGCGTGACACCGAGGGTTGTGATCCCGTTACCAGTCATGAAAAAAGACAAAAAGGAAAAAAAAAAAAAGAGAGAGACTGTCTGAACATATTTAATATACATAATATAGATGTTCAGCTTTTTCCAGTTTCTGTTTATGATAGGTATTAAGTACAGTGTGCAGCTTATGTATTTAGCTAATTTCTTCTTTAAAGAAGTCTTTTAAAATATGCTTTATTCTGGGCTGGCCTGTGGCTCACTTGGGAGAGTGTGGTGCTGATAACACCAAGGCCATGGGTTCGGATCCCTATATAGGGATGGCCGGTTAGTTCTCTTGGGAGAGCGTGGTGCTGACAACACCAAGTCAAGGGTTAAGATCCCCGTACCGGTCATCTTTTTTAAAAAAATAAAATAAAATAAAATAAGCTTTATTCTTTTCAGGTGATAACTTTCATTATTACAAGGTTACCCAAGGTCTTCTCAAGTTTGTGCATTAGAAAACTAGAATTCTTGTGTTTTTTCTGCTATCAAAAATCTTGTTTCTTTTAAAAAACAAGTTCAAACATCACCAAATTATATAGCATAGGAAGTATTAGTCTTCTAAAATCCTCCCTAACCCATATGCCCCTCAACATTCTCCTCATCCCCAACTCCACCCTCCCAGGATAACCAGTTGGCACATAATCTTTATTTAAAAATGATTTCCAAAGGTCCACTCTAGAGTTGAAATTTTCTGGTGGGAGAATCTATATTGTGTTCCTTTTATGCCAAAGGACCATGATCCTCAATAATACCAACATAAGAGCTTGAGGAAAAATTGTGAAGCTACACAATATCCCTTCTCAGTCATTCTAAATGCCTGTCTTTCATTCATTCAAAAATACAGAGAGTGCGTACTCTGTGCTAGGCACTGTTCTAAGCACTTGGGTTATAGCAGTGAACAAAACAAAGGTGCCTGCCCTCATGGAGCTTACATTCTAACAAGGAGAAATGATAAACAATAGATACTATAAATTATATTGAATATTAGAAGGTAACAAATGCTATGGAAAAACGAGTCAAGCTGAGTAAAGAAGATTGTTTAGGGCACTAGTTGCAAATTAAAATATGGTTGTCAGAGTAGGCCTCATCAAGGTAATCTGACATTTAAGCATAAACATGGAGGAGGAGAAGTAAGCCTGAGATGTCATAGGATTCCAGGGAAGCCAAGCCATTTCCATGGCACTAGGAGTCTGGTGTTTTTGTTCTCTTTGAGAAGAGCTGCTGAGTCTTTGTAATACTTCCTGGGCAGATCCATTGGTGTGGAAACAGCAAGTCTTAGGACTGGAAATCTTCTTTAAAAAGGCACTTAGAAAGAAATTTAAAAATTAAAAAAAGTAAAAAGGCACTTAGTCCAATCCTACCTTTGATGATTGCATTTTCTCTAAGACATGGGAGGGGCTTCTTTTCTATTTTATTTTTAAGCTACCACCTTTGGCCAAGCTAGCCATCTCACAGTGTTACCTTTGATTTTTACAGCAACCCTCTGAGGAAACAGTAACATTGCATTATGCCCATTTCTCACAGAGGCACAAGGTTAAGGGGTTTGCCTGAGATCATACACCAGGAAATGTGTATGAGCCGCAGGCCTGAATTCCTTCCACACACCACCCCATGGCCCTGCTCATATTCCACCTGCTTCTAATTCACCGCTTTTCTTTCTAGACCAGCATTCTCAAAACTGGAGGACTCCTTTGAGGCCCTCTCCCTGTACCTGGGGGAGCTGGGCATTCCATTGCCTGCAGAGCTGGAGGAGCTGGACCACACTGTGAGCATGCAGTACGGCCTGACCCGGGACTCACCCCCCTAGCCCCAGCCCAGCCCCCTGCAGGGGGGTGTTCCACAACCAGCATTGCCCCCTCTGTGCCTCATCACTGCTATGAGCAGGGCCGTCCAGGCTTCCTGTGGATTGGCATCTTGTTTAGAAGCAGAACAAGTCATCCCTACTACCTCCCCAGGAGGCGAGCGGGCGCAGCACTAGGGAAGCATATCTCCACACGTTTTGAGGCCTGGTTATTTTCTGTAAATCCAAGACTTGTCTGAAAGCTGTGAAGAAGAAAAAAAGCCTGTCCTCTGGGCCAGGGAGATTCTGTTACTTGGGACCACTCAGGAACTCCCTGGCATTGGGATTCTGGGAGGCTCTTGCTTATAGTAATCAGCGTGACCTGGACCTGCTGGGCAGGATCCCAGGGTGAACCTGCCTCTGGGTTCTGAAGTCTCCAATCCAGCTGGGTATAGGAGGATTTCAAGTGGGAGTGTGGATGAGACAAAGACTGGTGGCCACATGGCACTGGAAGAGTGTGAAATGACAGTGCTGCTCCCCCCTTCCACTTCAGGTCTCACCCTCCCTGAGGCGGAGGTTGAAGGAATAGATTTTGAAGAGTCCCTTAGTATGTGGTAAAACTGGCCAGGAGTCAAGGAATGGGCTGGTTTCTGCTTGCCTGCCAGGGGGTGGCTTTACCCAGCCTAGGGACCACATCAATGTGAGGGGAGCTTCCACCTCATGTTCTCAAACTATCCTACTAGAGACTGCCTAAGAACATCTGGGCAACATCCTTTTTGTCTGCAACAAGCAATCACCCACAAGCACAGGAAGAAGCTGAAAAGAGGCCTTACTCTCTAAAAAGCTCATGTCGTGGCTGCTGTCACTCATACCCGGCTGGGCTCCTCAGTCAGAAGCCGGAGACATTTTACCTAAAGCTAGATGGGTCCTGGAGGACAGTGTGGCTTGTCACAGGCCTAAGAGTCTGAGGCAGGGGAATGGGAGTCTCAGCAATCTCTTGTCCTTGTGGCAGCCACTGCTAACCTTTCGACATGCCAGGTCTAGACAGCACCTTCAGCTGGGAAGAGATGGTGGCAGAGTCCCAGAGCTGAGATGCTGAGAAATAGCTCCCAGCAATCTCTTGTCCTTGTGGCAGCCACTGCTAACCTTTCGACATGCCAGGTCTAGACAGCAACTTCAGCTGGGAAGAGATGGTGGCAGAGTCCCAGAGCTGAGATGCTGAGAAATAGCTCCCTGAGTTAGGCTATCTGGCTTCTACCTCCCTTGTTGGCTGGCCCTGCTCACTAGCTCCTGGCCACAGCCTCCTGAGCCATAGCCACAGGCACTAGAAAGCCGTGGGTGCACCCTCCACCTTGGCTCCCAGAGCTCCAGGGACTCTTCAGCACAACTAGATTTGCCTCCTCCTAAGTGTCTGTGAGCTTACAAATTGGGAATGGGTTTGGGTATTAATGCAATGTGTGGTGGTTGTATTGGGGGTGGGTGGAGGTGGAGTGATCTAGGAGAGTGGTTGCTGTTAATATTATCTTGTATCTATTAGGTGATATGTGAACTATTTGTACATAGACCTGATGAGTTATGGGATCAGATGTCATCTCTGAACAGAGTTTACTTCCTATATAGACTGTACTTACGTGTGGAGTTTGCAAGCTTGCTGTAGGGTTGAGCCCTGGACTCCCAGCAGCAGCACGGTTCAGTGTTGTGTGGCTGGTTGTCCCCAGCAAGCGTGGGAGTGGTGGGCCATTGAGCAGACTAAATAAATTAAGCAGTTAACATAACTGACGACACTGAGGGTGAAAAAAATGACTTGGGGCCTGGCTTAGGGACATAAATATAGAGGGATTGCTGGCCACCTTCAGGCCCAGGCCACATAACTTGTCACAAGAGGGAGCTCTCATGCTCCCAAGTCTAATTCCCTCTCATGCAGATACCAGCCTGCTCCAGAGAACATGCCCATCCCACCTGAGCATGGCAGCCTCTTCTCTGTGACAGGTTTGACCCTTTGTGGGATCTCATCTTGGTCCCACAAAGCTGCCCTACCTGGCTTCCACCTGCCAGCTGAATCATTCCTTTGGAGCCCCACACCCCTACCTCCTAGTATATTGACACTTCTACAGCCTGGGTATCCTGGGCTTTCTCTCCACAGGGCTGGGTACCACCTTCCTGATGGGGAGAAGTGACTACAAGTCACCCTACCTCTTGTATTTCCCTATAAGTGCTTGAGAGAAGACCTGTTTCTTCTTGCTTCTGCACACAGGGGATGTTGTGGAGTGACCTTTGGGCAGGATGATGCTATCTGGCTAGTGGGGTCCTGGGCACAACATAAATCCATAAATCCAAAGATCATTTCTCCCAAGCACTCTCAAAGTTCAAGGAGTCCAATTTAAGGGCACAGTCTGGTCCCTGAAAAACTGACAATCTGGAGTGCCCATTGCTAGCAGAACTATAGATCAATGTCTGGGCATGAGCAGAGGCCACCCTGGGTCTTCCTAGAGGCTGAGAACCTTTTGCTGAAATCCCCTGCTAAAAGTCCAGGAAACACTCGCATTGGTAGCTTTCCTTCTGGAGCCCTAAGAGTCACCCTGTAAGGACCTTCCTCAACTCAAGGCTGCTATAGGCAGCCCAACGACCCATCCCTCTCTGCACACCCTCCTTCAGCTACTGCAGCACCACCAACCACCCCCTTGTCTCCAGACCCTGACAAGGGCTGTCTGGATGTTCACTTTAACTACCTCCATCTTGGAAAGAATGCTGAAGGGGAGGAGATTTGCAGTGACCAACCGCCTTCCGGGGATGCCCACACACCTATTCTGCACCTTCAACTGAAAGATTCAGGATGTGGAGGCTACAGTTACCAACCATTCAGCTGTTGCTGCCTTCCAGTTACAGGACCAGGGTGAATGAAGAAAAGGCCAGAGCTTGGTACACAGGTGCTAACAAGGTAACCCACAGCTTCCCATAGTGCTCCTGGCATCTCACAAAAACTTGGCAACATGGAGTCTCTCTCTCTTTTTTTTTTTTTTTTTTTAAATCAAATGCAGAGCGGTTTCCTGCACTTTACATGCAGGTGTCAGAATGAGGTATATAAAACATATACATAAATGCTTTTATAGGAAAGTAGAAACCAGTAATGTTCTCTTCTCCAACATCACTAACATCAAGGGACCCCTTGAGGTCTAGATCCCCTCAGCAAATGGCTCCAGGGAACAGCCTGCTGAAAGGACTGAGCCCCACTAACCCCCATTTCCACATCAGGCAGTGGAAGAGCTCTGAGAAGGAAGCTTTGTGGGTGAGGAACACTGCCAAGGCCTCCAAGTGTGACGGCTTGGAGGCCCTCCTGAGCTGCTAGCACAGTGCAGTGGAGAAATGTGCTCAGTCAGGAAGCTGGGCACTCTTGGCTATGCCAGTAAGCTTGCTTTATGACCTTGGGCAAGTCATTTTTCCTTCTCTGGGCCCCTGTTTCCAAAAGGCTTGAAGAACCCTAAAGTCCTTTCCAATGGTTCTATAATTATGTTAAGGGTTGTGACCCTAGCCCCACTGCCCCACAGGAAGGCACTGGCCCCCCTGTTTCCAAAAGGCTTGAAGAACCCTAAAGTCCTTTCCAATGGTTCTATAATTATGTTAGGGGTTGTGACCCTAGCCCCACTGCCCCACAGGAAGGCACTGGCCTGGAGGCCACAGGACCACCTGCAAACTTGAGCACACTGCAGGGGCACGCCCTGAAATACTTTATTACCCTGCCTTGAGCTTAGTTTCCAGGCTAACTTCTCAGAAGCAGCTTACAGGTCCCCACAGTACAATTCCCATGGGTTAGCTCGCTGCCCTCTTACCTGTGCAGTATGAAGAGAAGTCACTGTCTACCCCTGAAGAGATACTATCTGGGGCACCTCCCCTATGGCCTAAGGCAGGAGCAGATCCTTCTTTACCCTCTTCCTAAGTAGAATGTTCAGTGCAATTCTTCCCTTTCTTTCCTCATGAAACGGGAAGAGTCCATAGGCCCAGGCCTGGCCCATGGTTGTCAAGGCACATCACTGCCAGTAAGCTGGAGCACACCCATCAGCCCCCAGCCTATATCCCATTCCCTGCCCAAAGTTCTGACTTTATACAAGTCATTTCTGGTTCTCAGAGGTCAGTAGGGAGTTCTGTCCCAAATACTTATATTTTTCAATGCTGCCTCTTGACCTGTTTGACCTTAACCATGAATAACAGTGTATGCCACTCAAGCCCAAGAAGAACTGATGGAAAGGTGGACACTGAGGCCATCTTAGATAGTAAAGCACAGATGAGCCTGGAGGAGCTCCCCATCTGTCCCCCGTTCAGTTCCAGGGACGCAGGCAATGTTTGGAAGCCCCTGTCAGCAGCACCACTGTGGGAGATACCGCTGTCCATCCATGGGCAAAATCCTGCTCCAAGGGATGGAGAAGGAGCATTGATAGGACCCTACGCAGCCTCACCCTCAGCCCACAGCGCCACCTGCTTGTGTCAGTTATTAAGATTCACCAAAAAAAAAAAAAAAAAAAAAGGGGGGGGGGGGTTTTAACCACAACACAAAACGAAGATCCCCCTAGCTGTAGGAGGGCGGGCT